CCGCCAGTCCGCTTACCAGTTACATCCAGATTTCGATCGCAACGAAACATTTTATACCTACCATCACAGATTTCTCTGTCTAATATATCACTCTGTAGCCATGACTCGGCAAGTCAAGGCATTTTGTTCGTAAACCACGGACGTTTTGGTAAAAAATATTTAGTCGTTTGTTATCCATTAAGGTGGCCATTTTAGTAGTCTACAGTAATATATATATAACTTTTTATAACAGGAACAACATAAACGGCAGAAATAATAGGTATAGAAAATATAAATATATACTGAACAATAATAAAATACGTAAACGTAGTATAAGATTAGAAATATTTTATAAAGTAAAAAAAAAATAAGATAAATAATATGTGGGTACGTTTAATAATAAGAGGATACGATATTTTATATGAATGTTACATAGCTGTTTACCAATCATATCAAGTGGGTTGTAAGGTTTAAAACAACTAATTAACTTACATTAGTTAAATATGAGATTATGGTACAATAACAAACATTTCTTAAACGAAAAAACTAGAAATAATTAGTCATACAATTTTACGGAGATCAGCAGGGGATATGATACGAATTGTGGCGGAGGTGTCATTCTTTCTAACTAAGATTTTACCATCTCGTATAAAAACAAACTGGTACTGCGCAGCGGCTGCCTTTTGCCGTGTATTCTTGTGTAACACCTTGTTGGCAGGCGTGAGGTGTTCGTTTACAGAGATCCTTCTCAGGTCACCTGAGATGCCGAGGTCGTTCGTGCTGAGGTCCTTCCTGGTTCTAATAGCACACAATATGGTATCTCGTAGGAGGCGTGAGTTGAGTTTGACCACAATGGATTTAGGGCGACCAGGTACCTACTGGATTGACTGGGCGTACTCTTGTCGCATGCACGACATCGGTCGCCGACGAATCTATTTCCAAAAACCTTACCATAGTGCAGTAATACTCAATAAGTTTCTTGTATGACCTTTCAGGAATACCATTTAACTCAAGATTCGATTCGATTCGATTCGATTCGATTCGATTCACGATCACGATGCTGCTGATTATGGAGTTCCACTTCTAAATTAGTTTGTGCTCCTGCACTCGAGTTATATCCGAGCTTTGGGTTGTATTTGATTTGAAGATGTCATCAACTCGTTAAACCAAATCTGCTTGAAGATTATCCTGATGTTCAATCGCAGTCTTGACCGATTCCATATCCATAAACAGCTGAAATTGATTGACTTCAATAACTGAAAGCATAGACTTAATGTTGTCTAGGTCGTTTTTTATAACAGTGTATTAACACTGTTATAAAAAACGACCGTTAGCGTCAGCGTCTTGTAAATGCAGTTTGTGTAGCTCGGGTTCCGATGCAACGGATACCAGTTGTTTAGACATAATTATAAATATCTTTGTATAACTTGTGGACGAATAGTTACAGGTGGCACGATATCCTGTCACCCTAGCAGAAGCAGGCCGGGGTGGCGGCGAGCACGTTGCGAAGCGCGCTCGCTTCCAGGGAGCAGAGGGAACATGGGGTTCCCACACGGGGGGGGGGGGGGTATTCGTCTGTAGATGGCCCGAGGTATGTCGGGGCACCAGAGACTTCCTTTCTAGGGTATAACCGAGGGGATTTCCGCACGGAAAAAAAAAGTGGCACAATATCACTTACACAAACAAATAGCGCACACAGCACAGCCGATTAGGTTTGACAGTTCGCGGATACTACAAGCGATGCGGGAACGGCGCAGCAGATGCAGCGGAAGAGAGACGAATAATTTCACTCAATTATTTTGTACTTGACCCGTAATCAAAACTGAACGTATGTGCACCAAGCAACGTACGTTCACAATTCTAACTGCTAACACAAATATCAACTGGAGAAGCACACGTCCACCTTGAACAAATAACGGCGAGAGAAGTCGAAGAATATAACGCGACTAAAGCGGCCACAAAGGGGCTTCAATTTAAATGTTGAGATGGATATTGTCAAACCACTTTATTGGATAATTTTTCTCCCCGAGAACAGTACCAAAACGTTTTAGGGACAAAATTTAACTAATTTACTTGATGATTTACAACTTTATCTCATCACTATGTTATGTTATTGATATAACAGCCAAGAACTTGGCTATTAATCCAGTTGTTCAGACACCTTATATTGATCCAACATAGTATTTGGCTATTAATTCTGCTATTTTAAACTAGATGTAGGGGCAATAGAGGCAATCTCTAGCTTAAATATAGCATATAGAATGGTATCAAATAGTTTTACTCTAGCGCATCAAAATATTCAAGGAATGTCTAGTAAGCGCCTAGAGATTGATATTTTTTGTATTATAGAACATTGGTTAAAAGTCATCGGCTCATGTTCAACTTCAGTAACCACATATTAGGTAGTTCGTTCAGCAGGGAACATGCTATACATGGCGGTTCATTGTTTTTGATTAGAAAGGATTTTAGTTTTAGGAGCCGTACTGATATCATTGGCGTCTCTATTGAACGGCCAATAGAAGTAGCATGTGTGGAGTTAGAGCAACTTATTGTATTGAGTGGATACAGGCCTCCATCCTCATCGTATGTTGGTTTAAAAAAATAATAATAATGAAGTCTTGCAGAAATTAAGTAAATGAAACAGAAGTGTAGTTGTGTGTGGTGATTTTAATGTCGATATATTGGAAGATGCATCTTTGAGTTTAGGGCTTAAAACCTTTTTAGAGCATACCAGGATCACTGCCACCACAGACAATTATTAGTGTTAGATAATATTATGTTCACTGACATATTACCACACACCAACTAACTACATGCTGATCACTGTGGACAGATGTATGCTTTGGCTATAAAAAACAGAGTGGTGGTAACACGAGATATTACTGTAGTACCTAAAACTGTAACTCGAATGGTAAATTTTAGAAATAAACTGTTCAGTAAACTGCCCGGCTTGGGTTATAATGATGATCCTAATCAATTATATAATGCTTTTTTTACAATGTATTGTTCAGAATTGGTTGGTTGTTAATATGTCATTCTGCTAAGGTCAATCACTTAAAATCTAAAATTAGTAATAGTTTATATAAAATTAGAATGACCTGGGAAATAATTAATGCCGAAACGGAAAAGCTAAAAACAAATGTGAAAATTAGAGCGTTTCAATTGGTAATAAAGAATTTAGATCCAATTTAGACGTTGCCACAGCTTTTAAAAAGTTTAACACAGACATTCCAGTTTCAGGTATGCGTTGGTGGGTCTAACCATTACAGAATCTTTATTGGAAGAGAATATTAACATTTGTAATTCTGAGTTTAGATTTAGTTGTATCTTCGATAGAGATATTGTTAAAACGTTTAATATTATTAGTGTTAAGAAAACCGCCGACCTTTGGGTACTTAATTCTGTGAAAATATTATTAGCGTAGATGCATCAGAGTTGCCCTTAATTACCAATAAGTGCATTCCTGACCTAATGAAGCATAGTAGGATAATTCCTTTATTAAAGGCGGGTAGCACGTCTGATCCTACAAATTATATACTTACCTATTTCAGTGTTAAATACTATCAGTAAATTAGAAAAAAAAATGCTAGATTAGCTGCAAACTCACTTTAATGTAAACAATATTATACACAGGAAACAATCTGGCTTCAGAAGAGGTCGCTCGACAAGTGATGCTGATGTTAAATTTCTGGAAAGTATATTTGGTGCCTGGGAGGATAAACGGGGTGCCTGGGAGGATAAACGCTGGGTGTCTTTTGTGATTTGTCTAAGGCATTTTATTGCTTTTTTCATGAAACATTGGTCAGGAAATTGCATCACTATTTAATTAGGAATACTGCTTTAGATCTTCTTAACTCTCATTTGGGTAATAGGATCCAGAGACTGGAAGTTAATGGACAGAGGTCCCTCGGGTCTTTGGTCACTATGAGGGTGCCGTAGGGCTCAATTCTAGGCCCATTTTTATTCCTCGTTTATGTAAATGTCCTACCTAACCTGATAAAAGATAATCAGGAGATAGTGCTCCCATATTTGCGTTTCTATCATTGTTATTATGTTTGAAAGTCATTTTGTTGTAACTCACATTTCGTGTATTTTCAATTTGATTATATTTTCGTTGAAATTGAACTGTATAGTATATTTTTTGTGTAAGTATGTAAATGTGAGTATAGTGTAGGCTTGTAATGCTAGTTCATATTTAAGTAACATTTTGGTGGTTTTGAGTATTTCCACGACCGGCGATCAAAGTGGTCAATACTGTTCTGAACACGTTTGTTAAGCCGTTTAATTTTAAATTTGACAGTGCTAAATAACTTATTGAATAAAAAAATCTTGTTTGTTGAATTAATTTATGCTTTATTCATTTTAATATTGTTTTTTTCCATCTCAGGAATAGCCTTCTGAAACTTATTTAGCTTTACTTTATTCTAGGAGTTCCTAATAGACATCAACACTATAGTCCAGTCCAAAAAGTTCTTAATTCCGAATTTTGAAGATTAAGTTTGCGTATTTATTTTATATAAGTTAGATTTAACGATACAAAAACAAAGTGTAAAAGTTTTAGTGTACATAACCCTTGGGAACGGAAAAAACCAAAAGAAGGTTTTTTTTGCAATAATTCGCAAACTTAGGTATGGTTGGGAAACAATTTGAATCCTCAAGAATGGGGATAGAAAAATACATTATTTATGATGCTGCCGATTATGTCCACTTCAGATCCTGCACCTACGGAACTAATTGAAAAAGTGAGTGAAGGGTTAATAATCATTATTTCGTTTATAATTCTAAAAATAATTACAAATTGTCATATGAATTCATATTTAGGTCTTTTGCTATTGCAAAGCATAATGAACTTCGTTCCTATCTGGGTCCCACGTAACCACACAGCTTTTTTATAAGTAAGTGTTTTGTGATAAGAGATAGCTATATATAGGGTTTCTGTGTTTACAAAATCATTGTACGCGAATGTCCGATGGAGAATATTGTCTTATAATATTTTGGTGAACACTCAGATAGATATAATCATGAGTTATAAAGTAGTGAGTGGGTGTTTTAGCCGTAGTGTCGTTATTGCAAAACCACAGCAATTTTTACGGTAAGAAAAACAACTGAAAATCTATATTTTCTTTTATATATTGTAATATTTTCTTATAAATAAGTAGCCCTCAGTTTAATTTTAATTTTAGCGCTTATCACAGAGTTATATTTTTTGTGGTTAATTGTAGCGCTTATCACATACATGTCTTTTTAAAGTCACTGACATTTCAGATTAAACATTTAAAACAATATTTGATAACGTCGTGTTTGGCAAAGTATGTAGACAATTTAAATGTGTGGTCATTGGGTATTAATGACATCGAAAAACGTATGATAGTGACGATTACCGTCCTCATTCCTCTCAAATTTCGTAGGTTTATTTCGTAAGTTGTGCCCAGTTTAACTTGGACCATAAGTTGGCCTTGTGTAATATAGACACATGAACAGAAACATCTTTAAAAACTAAACTACGAATCCTGTTCGTACCTATGCGATGACAATCATGTTTTTTTTTTAATGCGATTCCAAGACCTTAATCCCTATGTATTTTGGTTATAATACTTCATTATAATAATACTCCAGTTTCAACTTCATGTGTTTAACTATTAATTTATTATACTTAACTGATTGTAAAAAGACTCAGTTCTCTCGGTATTTTTTTGTGTTTATATTATGCGATGTGATTACACATTATAATCAAATTGGCCCCATAAAGTTTGTAACACTATTCCTTTTGTTTGTGGGAATTCAATTACAATAATTGAGAAAAAAAATTGCTGACTGACTAAATTCAAAACATTTAATAATTAAGTCACGATATTACCTGCCAAACAAGATATAAACCTGAAGTCGAACCCTGCCAGAACTTTCCAAGCATTGAAGCCCATAAACAGTTGCTGCAGCTGTAGCCAGTAGGTACATTCAAAAGAGTTAAGTTTGACATAGGATTTCGTAACAATGTTCTTTAAATTTTAATGTGTTCATATATACATATCTATAACATACTTGGATATATTAATATACTTATTTTAATCACTATTTCATTTTTTGAGGCGGTCGCTTTAGGCGCACTCTCTAGTCGGGTATATTTTAAAGATGGACCACATTTCTTAGGGATCAATAGAGATGAAAATCGCACGAGATAACTTAAGCGTGCTTAGAGCACAGGTCGAACTTGGAACCGTTTGAATAGATTTCAATAGATAATAAGCAACAATCAGTAGCGTTCTGACATTGTTTTCTAACTAAAAAGGATTTAACTTTATTTTGAAATCAAACCAAAAAGTTTTTATTCTGTCCTAGGTGCTTAGTTCTTTTTTTTAAAATACATCACGTTTGTCTTCCAGAAATGGCAGCTGTGTTTGTAATTATTCAAAGTCAGTTCAAGATGCTAAGCCTTTTAAATCAATACCGGGACTGTCTTCGTTACCGTATATTGGAATTCTCCACCACTTCTTACCAGTCATAGGTTTGTAGGATCAAGTGATTATATTAGTAAATTATCATAATTTTTTAATCTGCTATCATTCCTTTAAACCACCAAGTAACTTATTTTAGAAGGGGATGGGGCCTAGTATATTTCTTCAAACTGAGTCACCCACACTGATGAGAACACGTTAATTAAATAACACACTTGAGACAAAACACCGTCTGCAAGTCTGCAATTATTTTTTATGATATTAGGGGGCAAAGCTGACGGGTCACATGATGGTAAGTGACTAACACCGCCCATGGACACCTGCAGCTCAAGAGTCAGTAGTGCGTTGCCACCCTTTGAGGCAGAGGGACGTCTGTTTGGGCACCGGTAACCTGTCGCATTCGGTGAAAAGCAACACATATTGCTTAACACTTTCGTTTAACACGTTTTCTGTAAAGCCAGGTATCAAGTATTTATTTCGAAGTTTGGGTGTTTTCCATGTATAATATGTATATGTATTATACAAAAAAGAAAAAGTATTCTATCAGCCAATCTAGCTTTCTAGTGCAGGCGTCAGAGGTAAGTGAATGTGCAAAATGTGAGGACTGAATTCATGGGCGTACCCAGCATTTAGGGGTGGGGCAAAATTAAGAAAAATAGATAAATTATTATACTTTCATACATGTACATTTTTTTTTGTGATAGAGTAGACACTCCCTTCGGATGTATGGCTCCCAGGGGACGCACCAGTCTGCCCTCTAGCAAAGTGTCGTCTGCTATGCGGATGTCATACTAATATTGGGTCTCGCAGAAAGAGAAAACTGAGGCGATATGGTTCCATGGAGGTTCACGCCTCCGGGTCGGGACGCTGAAGTCCAGGTAGGCCGGTAAATGAAGTAAATTTCTCATCCTGGACAGTGGAGCTTCTAAGAGCATTTAGGGAGATTAGTACCCCAAATGCGAGGGGCAGCAGGTGTGCCGAATCGAAGAAGTTCGCTGCCTCTACATGGTAGTCGTATGATCCATGGCCCTCTATGGGGCACCAGTCTGGTCTAATGGCCTGGTGGGTACCTCACGCTACAATGGTCTACTCAGGGGCCTGCAGCTGCCATATGAATCATACGGGGCTACTGTTTGATCTCGTATGAGGCGGCGACGGTCCTGGCGCGATCTCCTGTTTTTGAAGTTCTGGCCGATATGGATGCAATATCTACGCCCAAGTTCACTCTGTCGGTCGCAATAGTGCAGAAGGCGCAGAACGCGCGTACGCGTCCCGGCTGGAGGCTGCTTCGGGAAGTACCTGTGTGGCGACATTGTTGCACATCACTATGAATGAATTACGTAGTATCATGACAGTACAACACTATAGGCTGTCAGTTTGGTGTCTTCATTCTCTTAGCTTGCTATATACGATACTATAACTAATTGTGATTGTATATAAAGTCAAATATATATCTCATTTCTGTGAGACACATACGACAGTTTTATTGACAACAACACGTAAATAAACTGGTGGACTGGCCATCGTGTTCTAAGCGTGTTCTCATTACACTAAAGTGGTGACCCTGTCGTGCCGTCGCGTCGAGTTCCAGCCGTATTTGCATAACTACGCTTCAAAATGGACTTCGTGATCGAGTACTGCAGCCTCGACCGCTAATTTCGATCTTTCCTGCGTCTACTGCAACATATCCAAACGGGAAGACCAATAATCCACGGTTTTCGGAACTATTTCACCCAACGCACGCCGCTCTAACCAGAAAAAACTGGTTTGCCTCCCCGCCCCGCTGTGAACATATTCCGGTGTTTTTGTGTGGAACTCCTCAATCAAGACGGATAGTGCCTGCAATTGTGTTCTCAGTGCTGAAATACATAAAGTGCATCGCATTTAAAGTAAAAATACCTTTATTTCATCTCCGAAGATTTTAGTTGAAATAGTAGCCAACGGGTTGACAAAGCCATCTATCATCGAGTAGCGCAAAAAAAACATCATCAAACTTTTCTCGAATTATAATATTTTGTGTATATTTTATAACTCTAGTTTAATTGTTGATGTAGGGTGCTCTTTGTGTCCGTTTCATTTATGTTTGTAAAGTCCCCGCGACACAGGAATGTATTCCTAATGCGGGAGTTTTCTATTTTTCTTAAAAGAAAAAAAAATGCGTACATAAGGTAGGTAGTTTTATAGTGCTACAAGTTCTATTGTATATTACGGTAAGTTTTTGTCACGATTTCATACAATTAATCTGCAATTTTGCTTTTCTTACAAACGTAAACAAAGTACTGCGTTATTGACTTTGCTTTTTTTGCGTTTTCTTTTTTTTTGTTTACTAATACTGCTAATGGTCTTTAACGTTACAACTTGAAAGCATGTGTACAGTGTATATAGCGTGACTCAATTAGATAAAAAAACGGTTCTTTTGTAACAACTTAACTTTTGTTTCGCAAAAATGTTTCAATCTATTTTAACATGGTGTAAAGTGTGTTTTTTGCCCCATACAATTTTTTTTTTAACTGCACTTAGCTATAGGGACTGCTTGTAAAAGGAAAAATAATATTCATCCTTTAATTGATTTTAACCTTGTAAAATATTTATATTTTGTTTAAAAACCATATCCTTGTAAAATATTTTGTTTAAATTTAAACTTCATTTATTTATTTCTGTTTAGATTAAGTTGTAACTTATTGGTTATTGGACATTTCTATTTCCTGCCTTGTATACTTACCTACTATTTATTTTAGTGTCAGTTTTGCTACAGCGCCCCTTCTAATTATTTTTCTTATTCTGGCTTGCCTGTGTTTTGTTCGCACTGCACGTCTGTTGGTAATTTTTAGTCACGGCTGAACACTTACAAGAACAAATCCTGCAGCTGCAAGCCGAGAAAGCTGCCCTCCTGCTCCGGCTTGAACAAGAAAATGTAAGAAAGCAGAGGTAGGTATGTAAGGTGTCTGTGAAATTGAATCCGTTCTGGCCCAATAAACCTGCAGTATTGTTTGCCCAGGTCGAGGCACAATTTCAACTCTCTGGCATCACAGCCGATAACACAATGTTCAACTATGTTATATCACGACTGGACCAGAAACTGGCTGGCGAGGTCGAGGACATTATAACAGCGACTCCAAATCAAGGGTCAAGGTACCTAAAATTATAGGAAGAACTAATTAGGCGACTTTCCTTGACACATCAGCAAAGAGTTTGCCAAGTTATTGGCGAGGAAGAGCTCGGCAACAGTCCCAGTTCCTTCGACACCTACGCTCATTGTCTGACGTTTTGTCAGATGAGAACATTTTGCGACAACTTCAAGCCATTTTGGCATCTCAATTGGATATTGAACTCAATAAACTGGCGGAGTTGGCTGACAAGGTCATGGAAATTGCAAGTTCCAATCAAATTTACTGCCCCATCCACTTCATCATCAGTCCTTGAAACGTTGGTTGAGCGAGTAGAACAATTAGGCAAACAAGTTGCTTCCCTGTCCAAAAAAAATCAGCCTGGACGTTCACGTAGCTGTTCCAGGGCCTCCTCTAGCCGCTCTCACACCTCCCCAGGTCTCTCACACCTCTCCTTGTCAGGTTTGAGGTTATTAGGTTTAGGTTCTATGCGTTTTGGGATTTGTTAAATTGGATTCTCTCTTATCCTATAATACTATACTATACTCTTATAGCATATGGTTTGTAGGATTTTTTTAAACAAAGAAACTTTAAAACGCGGTATCTCTGCGACCAAAAAAAAGGTATCTGAGCAAACTCAACCCGAGTTAAAAAGTTGAGGTTTAAGATGTTTTTTACAGTTTTGGGAGAAAAATTATGTTACGATGCTACATAACGTCAACAATGGCCAAAAACAGCTATTTTTGCACTTTTAGGTTAGGATATTACAGAAACCAGAGCCAATTAGGTAATTTGGACTTCAGATTCGGATTCAGCTCACCAAAAACCTTTGAGGAAGTAGACTCTGGTTTCTGGGTCTGAGGGTTATCAGCCTGTGTAAGAGTAGAAGGGGTGAAAAAGAAGTAGACGAAAAATTTACCGGCAAGATCCACATTATTAAGCTTTGACCTTTTCTTATCAGAAATCCATTAGTGGAATTCGGTCCTTACATTTTGATGTCCGAAAATATTATTATGTTTTTTTTTGTTTTAAAAAGACTCGCGCATTATGAACATATCCTGTGTCGCAGGAGACTTAACAAACTTACATCAAACGGACACAAAGCACACCCAGACTCAGACTCAAATACTAAAATGCTTTTTAATTATTTTTTTAGGACAATATGGGCCTAATGGCAATTTATTTAATATAATTGGTGATTTGCATAAACAGTTTGGTCCTATAGTAAGATTAAATGGTGTGTTTGGCAGAGCCGACACGGTTATGTTGTTTGACCCAGTGGATATAGACCAAGTAAGTTCTTACTTTTTTTAAACAATTCGTGAAGGTAACTGAAAATACATTTCTGCAATCCTTATTGCAGACGCGTATTTTCAGTAGGCCCTTGCCTACAATAGATTGGGATTGAGGCTAACTCATTCATAACAAGCTTCTTAAAAAGAGGTGTCACCTTTCAATAGTCTGGCTGTCATGTAAGTTCTTTGTAGGTACATAGCTACACAAACAAATGTACCTTCTTGAAAAAAAGTGATGTAAATACATGCTTTTAATAAAAGAAATAGAAATAAACTTGTTTTACCTGCCTCTAGGCTCCAAAGGATAAACAAATAATTTCGAGGGTAATGTGCCCGATTCTATAATAAAATCCCAAATAGTATACAAGATTTTAGTATAAATAAAGAACAATGGCAGAAACATATTTACCTAAAACTTAAGCGTTTAAAAAATCGAGTCACAGTAAACTTAATCAAAAATTTTTCTATGATTTATCATTACACCACCATGTGTTGTATAAGTCTTATAAGAGATAAGATATTTTTGAAGATTTTATTTGACCTAAGACTAGGGATGCGTGGTGGCAATATTATATTATGGAACAATTTATCGATAATCGATTCTTATAGCTTTGGCTGAAATATTTACCGAAGGTTCACTATTATGATTATGAATTTGCTTCTGCCCACGTCTTCACTCGTACGGTAGAGTGACTGAATCAACATAATTAGAAATGATTTAAAATATTTTTGACTCTCTTTAAACGATTTTAAACACACTAAAGGAATAGAATATAGTTACGTTATTTTCCACTACACAGTGTGATGAGAAAAATACATTGTCATTGATAACGGCACATACATCGATATTTTCAAAATGTCGATACGTAGTCGTTTAGTACACATCTCTTAATCTGTGGTTTAGATCCTGACAAGTTCCGGACTCACTACGTTTGATATTTTATTTTTGTTTAATTTAGTGTTAAACTCGAATAGATGTTATGCTTTTATTTTTTTTATTTCATATACTGTAATAATAATGAAAATAATATTTTCGGCTATCTGACACACAACGCCATCTAGTTTCAAACAAAACATTAACAATATGTTAGTACTTAACCTCGAAACATTCAAATTCCAATATCTTTTTTCCTAGACTTCTTTCGCAAGTAATTTTGATATGAGAATGGTCAAGAATAAATTCTCAAGTGTTAAGGATTTTTTGATATTTAAACGCTAACATTTCAGGTCAAATAAAATTATGTATGGGGACCTGCCATTGTCCTTTAAATCCACAATAAAACGTAAACTATATAAGAAAGCCTATTACCTAATTGTGGATTACATAGAAGACAAGAATGCTTGGGATTAATTTAGCACAGGCTATTTCGTAGTGGAAATGTGATGTGGGCTAGTATGTCTTTTATTTAATTTTCATTTTTTTTTGGTTTACTGCACTTTCTTTTTTATTCCATCTTTTTTCTAAATCTTGTTTTCTCTTTATTGCCTTTTTACCTTTTAGTCCGTAAAACTTACATACTGGCACACATCAGAACAATGTTGTGTATATTTAATGATGCCGTTGTTATCTGTTGAATAAAAAGAGTGGACCTGAGTTTTTTTGCCCTGTCTCTCATAAGGCTCAACCCCTTGGAAATAGGCAGTTGAGATTTGCGATACGTACAAATTTAGTTTGCTAAATATTTGACAAAACAGAGATTGTTGCTATTGTGTGTGTTGATCTAGAGTCTACACAAGAGACCATTTCAAATAATTTTAAAGATTTTGTGGAATAAAGATATTTAAGTTTGAGATTGTGTATATACGTACAAAAAGCTTACTAATGTTATAACCATAAAACCTAATATTTATACTTCGCAATTTTATTCATTAATGATCCCCATAAATCAAAAAATAACATGCCAATTCAAATTCAAAAATGAAACTCCAAATCTTACCACAGTACCATATTTCTTAATTTCTCTTCTTTATTTATTAAAAGCTAGAGAAACTAAAGTTGATTTATTGCAAATGAGATCCTAATTATAAAGCTTGGTAAAGTTTCATCGTATAGTTAAAATAAACCATAAAATAACACCGACAGTTTGAGATATTTACCTATTTATGATTTCTATAGGATGGTTCTATCGGATTCGAAACTTAAGGTAGGTTTTTATTGTATTTTGGTAACCTCGAGAATATAGTACAATTTGAAAATGAATTGGCAAAAATTTTAGGTATACAGATCACAAGAATCAAATCCGTTAAGACCTGGTTTTGAAACTCTAGAATATTACAGAGAACATGTGAGAAAGGATAAATTTGAGGGCTTTCAGGGTCTAGCTACAAGGTATAATACTACAAAAATATTATCATACTTAATTATGGTGTTAGAAACTTTCCACTATAATCGTATATGTAATTTTACAGTCATGGAGCACAATGGCGCGATTTACGTACTAAGGTCAACCCAGCCTTCCTTAAAATCAAACTGGTTCAACTCTACACCCCACCACTTGATGAAATAGTTCAAGATTTTGTAGACAGGTATCTTCGTATTTTTGTAACCGAACCGACCCGGTCAGTTCGGCGGAGGCGCGCATTCCAGCGCCCTGAGTGTGGCCGCTGCTGGGCGAGCCAGGTTTTCCCCACCACCCGCCATAACGACCAGTCGCGATGAGATGATGTCCACGTGTGCCTGGATGTGGCCTAAATGAGAGATTTACCAGAAGGTGGTGCCTGCTCGCAAGCAGCCGCTAGGAGAGGTTCGGATATCTTTATAAGCTTGTCCCTGGATCCTGGCGCAGAGTGGCACACCGTGTGGTTTTAGTCGGTTCGATTCCGACACATTACCCCACTGCAAAGTCCGATGGGGTGACTGCCCGAGGGGTTTCTGCACGTATAAAAAAAAGGTTAGGTTAGGTTAGTTAGTTACCACCCCCAGAGGATATTGGCGGTCAGAGCCATACGCGGATACCGCACGGTATCCACCGAGGCGGCTTGCGCCTTGGCCGGAACACCCCCGTGGGATTTGGAGGCGGAAGTGCTCGCCGAAGTTTATCGGCGAGTGGCTGACTTCCGGGCGGAGGGCGAAATCCGCTCTGCGGATGCGAAAAGACGTGCGCGAGTGGCGCGAAGCCGCTCGCCGAGCCACCATGGTCAGATGGTCGTTCCGGCTGGAGACTCCACGCGCTGGCTTCGCCGCCGTGGAGGCTCTCCGGCCGATCATCGCCGAGTGGGCAGGGCGGCAGCACGGGACCCTTTCCTTCCGGCTGACGCAGGTGCTTTCCGGGCACGGTTGCTTCGGAAAGTACCTGTACTCGGTCGCTAGGAGGGAATCGAGTCCCACCTGCCACCACTGCGACTGCAGTGAGGATTCGGCCCAGCACACGCTGGCGGTTTGCTCCGCATGGGCGACGCAGCGCCGGGCCCTCACTGCAGTTATCGGAGCAGATCTCTCGCTACCGGCCGTAATTCGCTCCATGGCCGGTAGCGACAGTTGTTTTACCGCGGTCGCAACCTTCTACGAGGAGGTAATCTCGCAGAAGGAGGCGGCGGAGAAGGCCCGGGAGGACGACCTCCACTCGGACCTGATCCGCCGCCGGCGAACCGGGCGGCGGAGGCGCACTTACCTGCGCCTCATGCCGCCCTGAGTGTGGCCGCGGGTGGACGGGATGGGTTCTCCCCTCCACCCGCATTAGTTGGCCAGCCGCGAGGTGGCGGCTTCCGCGTGTGCCGGACGTCGCCTAAAGAGAGGGTCCACTGAGACGGAGCCCGCATCAGGAGCGGGCCGGCGCTGGGAGGGGTCCAGAAGGCGATAACTACCTGGACCCCTCCTAAACTGGAAGCGCAAAGAGGGCACACCGTGTGGTTTTAGTCGGTTCGAGTCCGACACACCGCCCCGCCGAACGAGAGCCCCGGCGGGGTGACGGTCCGAGGGGATTTCCAAACGTAAAAAAAAAAACAAAAAAGGTTAGTTAGTTACCTGACAACAAGAGCTTTACTTAAAATTCTGATTCTCAGTTGACTTATGTGTTGTACTTATTTTAGTAACGGAAAACGTTAGTTTTTATATATTTCCTAGTCTGAATTCCTGAAACATTATATTACATATTTCATTTTGAATTGAAGAAAGGAATTATGAGTGGAATTGTTTCGAATTCCTGAAATAGATTATATTATTTCAAAATGTACATTATTATTATTATATAAAGTTTATTTTATTTAAGTATCTGACTTTATTTTCACAAGGTTAAAGCGACTGAAAGAAGACGAAACATATTTGAGAGACAACTTAGATGTTGAAGTTGAAAAGTGGGCTTTAGAATGTTTGGGACTGGTGGGATTGGGTGCACGTTTGGGATGTCTTAACGACAAATTGACGCCTGAAGTACAACAATTGATAGATTGCGCTAAATATATCATTCAAAAGACTTTTCAATTAGATTTTCTTCCAAAAACTTGGAGATATATTGCTACACCTACCTTTAAGAAGCTTATGAAAGTATATGAAAAACAATGGGAGTAAGTATAGATTTTTTTTTAAGTAACAGCTTAATTTTCAGCATTCATAATAATATATTCTATTTCTTGCTTGTTAAAAGACAAATTAATTTTCACTTATACGAGCGCCATCACAAGTTAACGTGTTCTTGGACAGTGGTGTCATGTGATGGTTAAAACTTTCAGGTTAAGTGAAATGTATATCAAACAGGCCACAAAACGGATAAATGAGAGAGAACACGATATTCCAGACGGAGAGAAAAGTATAATTGAAAAACTATTGGCTATAGACGAAAGAGTTGCTATAGTGATGGCTAATGAAATGCTAATGGCTGGAATAGACACGGTGAGTAACCAGATTTTCTATTATCTTATTTCTTAAAATAAGCATTCTGTAAACGTGAAAAGAAGACCCAGCGTGTAGCTCACTGCTTTTGCAATTTACTGATCATTATAGGCTAGGCTAGTTTTGAGCACAGACAAAACCCAACACGGCTTCTAGCATATTTATTGTTACTAGACATTGCCTGGTTCGCAAACTTCGATTTTAGCCTATTAACTTTTAATGGTTTGTTTTATATTGTTGACCAAATTGACTTGAGTTGTCATTGTCACATTGTCATGTAAGCTTTCCTAGCTCTTATTTTATTTATTTTTTCCGTACGTACTTTCTGTACCGCAGAAGATATTAACCTAAATACAGGACTTCTAGTTATACTTTTGAATCTTTTCTCGATAATTTTAAAGTTTTAACACACTAGGTTGTACCGTGCCACGCATCGCTGTGGCAGATTGCGGTTGTAAAAATAAATGAAATCCATCTGTGAAGCGTGTTGTATATCGTTGCAAAATTTGAGCTCAATCGGTGCAGATCTTTTTAAGTTTTTGAGGCGTTCACAAACTAATTTAGCATGTTATATATTTAGATTTTACATGTTTTGTCTCACTGTGCTTCTACTGTACATGTAAACTTGAATTGTTCAAATTTTAAATTATCTCTTACATCAAAAATTTGTCTAAGAATAATATTTTACAAAGCAATTAAAGAACTCGCATAAAGACTAGATTATAACACTTAAAAATGTGACCTGTAGAACATAAAGTAGACAAAAATATTACAGTTTACACATAATAGAACATTGACTTTGCAGGTGAGTTTTACGTTAGTGGGTGTACTTTATAATTTGGCAAGTAATCCAGAGAAACAAGAGACGTTACGTCAAGAATTACGTTCGGATGATAATCAGAAACGCTATCTAAAAGCTTGCTTAAAAGAAACTTTAAGAATCCGGTCCGTGTTGCCATCTAACTTAAGGAGGACTGATAAGGATCATGTTGTGCGCGGCTATCATATTCCTCCAGGAGTAAGTTTTATTTAATATTTTTAAAGTATACCCACACCTACACTGGTAGTTCTGCAGACTCGATCACCAATCAAATCACATGGTCATGAACATTGATTCTCTATCGAAAAGAAAGATTGGAGACCACGACGATGGTGAAGCTGTCCTAGAATTATTAATTTAACGACAGTTCTTTATAATTTTATTTTGAAAAAAACAAAAAGAAACGGAAAAAAAAAATATTTTTCCGTGCGGAAATCCCCTCGGATACCACCTATCGGTGGCATGTCGGACTCGAACCGACTAAAACCGCACGCCGTCTCGGGTACTAATAGCCGGGGAATAAGGTATAGAATCCCTAGAAAGGAAGTCCCTGGTGCCCCGACATACCTCGGGCCATCTACAGACGAGTAGACGACCCCCTCCCCCCTGTACCAGCATAACTACCAGTGTAGGTGTGGACCTACACTGGTAGTTCTGCAGACTGGATCACAAGTTAAATTACACGGTCATGAGCATTGATCCTCTGTCGGAGAGAAAGATGAGAGACAACGATGACGGTGAAGCTGTCGTAGAATTTGTTAAATTAATGACAGTTCTTGTTAATTTTAACATTAAACATTTTAAAGTACATATGAAAATCCATTTGTGGCAGATTGAATGGATTTATAATTCCATGGCTGTCGATGATTGACCATGTTTATTTTATGTGTCTCGTACGATCGCGAACAGTCGTGTATTTATTTATTTGTGTAGAAAAAAAACAGTATTTAGTTTTAATTCTGATAAGTTTCTTACTTATCAATTTTGTTTAACCATTTAGGTTGACGTTGTGGTACCGAGTGAATATTTATCAAACCTTGAAGAGTTTTACCCGCAGCCGAACAAGTTTATACCGGAAAGATGGTTGGCAGATAAAACAGATCCATTGTTTTACGGAAACGCACACCCGATGGTCACATTACCATTCGGTTTTGGCATCAGGAGTTGTATTGGCAGAAGACTTGCTGAACTGGAGGTTGAGTTAATGGTCAAGAAGCTGATCGAGCAATTTAAAGTAACATGGGAAGGACCACCAATTAAAAGCGGCAATAAATTTATAAATTACTATGAAAAACCATATAATTTCAGATTTGAAGCTAATGTATAGTATACTTCTTATAATAAAATATATTTGGATGGACCGGATGGCGTAGTGGTTTGTGTAACGGACTGCTAAGCCAAAGGTCGCGGGTTCGATGCCCCGCTTAAGTCAAACATTTGTGTGCATGAACTTTTAATGTTTGATTTGGTCTGGGTGTTTCTATGTTTAATGTGTAAATACGTATTTAAAAGTATATACGTTTTTATATCAGTTGTCTAGTACCCATAGTACAAGCTCTGCTTAGTTTAGATGGCGTTGTTAGAATGTGTTAAATAAAAAAACTAGAAAGTAAGCTTCAGTCAGTGTACATAATAATAAAATAAAACATAAAACTAACTATAACCGTGTTTTCTTTTTTATTTTCATCATGTCGTATTTTTCCATCATCTGGCACCACGTACGTAGGTCACTCTATAAAATATCAAAAAGTAAACCTATATACTTACAATTTATATTATATTTTTGCAAAATACTCTTCATGACTACGAATATACCGAATTGCCATCCGCCTTAACCAGTCTTGGAAATACTTATTCCAGTCTTCCTCCGATATCTTCAGGGCTGACCTTAACGACAGGTCCATATCATATCATATGTTTATGAGATCCTTCCCTACAAGGGTCCCCCAGGCTTCGGTCCTAGGACCTGTTCTGTAAAACCTCGCGCATAATACAGTGCCAAGAACGTAGTCTTTCCCTAGACGTAAATTTCGTCTGTTACGTGGTGGAGAACTCGGAGCTGGTCGTGTTAGGGGCTAGTTTCTGACGTCCAAAAGATCAGCGATCTGGACCTGTTTTTTTTATTCCTTGCATCTCCAATGTATAGTTGGAGCCTATTTTCTACTTTTACCAGTTCTCGCTTTTGCTACATCTCGTACTTTTACATTAAGCAGGTGCTCCGAATTACGGTTGAAAGTGGATCGTAAGCGTTCACTTAATGTATCATGTAAGGAGGCATAACTATCATCGCCAGTGGATAAAGCGGACTCATAAGCAGTATTATTAGAATCATTACCATCAGTAATCATAGGTTTTAAATTTGAAATTGATGCAATAAAATTGCAAATACTATTTAGGTAAATAAATAAAATTATAAAAGTATATACTATATTTCAAAATATTCAGATATTGCTTCTCTGCACCACCCACCAGCTAACACCACACAAAGTTAAGTTAAAACAAAAAAAAAAACAAAACGAGTATAACAGTGTTAGTGTAAGCATAGTGAAAATAATACGTCTATGTTAGTAATGCATTTCTGAACGTAACTCGCCGGACAAACGTCATTTTATCAATGTCAAATTTAATGTTGACAAGATGCGTTGATGTTATTACATAAACAATTTTGGGTAACTAGCTGACCCGCGCAACTTCGTCTGCGTCTCTCAATAGTAATAAATTTTCTCCGTTTTTGAAACATTCTTCATTGGTGCTCCGCTCCTATTGGTCTTAGCGCGATGATATATAGCCTATAGCCATCGAGGAAGGCTATAGGCTATATATCATCGCGCAAATGGGCTATCTAACACTGAAAGAATTTTTCAAATCGGATCAGTAGTTCCCGAGATTAGAGCGTTCAAACAAACAAACAAACTCTTCAGCTTTATAATATTAGTATAGATATACGAGTATATATGTGCGTGACAAAAAATATGTAAAAATAACTGTATTGTTTACCTGCCAGTCATCGACGATCAACGAGTTATATGCAGAAAAATGTTAAGTGAACATCGATAAGATGGATTTATAAAAGTAAATTTATGCCTGATAAATTATATTTTGACCGGATTTTTCTTGTGCGGGCCAGGAGGGATATTTTTCTTGGTACCACTTCTACTATGGGACCCTGCTACATGAAGAAATTTTGGATGCTTCGCCATCAGGTCCGACAGTACCTCAATAGTAGTGATCTTAAGACGGTTGCCGTCAGGGACCTTAATTATTATTGTGCCGTCTTGCGTCCAACTTGCACGGGTACCGTGTTGATGGCTTTGGCAAATACTGTTTGTCTTGCTTTGGTGAGGAATTCACGGATAGAAACGGTCGAGCCCTTGAGTGCAGTCTTAGCCCTCTAAAAAGCTGACCAGAGTTCCGAGCTTCAAAACCTCATCAAGATGGGCCGGCCGGTGATGATCTGAATTGGGTGTCCCAAGCCTGTGACAGACGGTGAACGACTCTGCAGAGTATGTCTTCAGTTGCAGCTTTTTGTTGACAATATCAAGTGCCACTTTGCCACAGTCCTGACTCTCCGACTCTGCAACCGGTACGACTTTACTTTGACGTCCATCGAGTTGGAATCTGAAATTTTTTTTACACAAAGGTTACATTATTATAAGCACACACGTAAAAGTTTCAACACGCGGAGACGCGTAGTTTTTAAGAAAAAAAATATTGAAAATCAATTATTTTTGCAATATTTATCAGTCCCCTCACCTTTTTTCGCTCGTTATTTGTTTCTACCAATGAAATGAAAATTATTATTAATCTAGGTTTTCTTTTTATACATGACCCAACCTCTTTTTAATAACTATACTTTTTTTTTATTTCTAGGTGTATTTTGACCTAATGTTAGTTTCTTAGACATGGCTGGTGTTTTATACGAAAGATATGGTACTATAGTAAAATTGGATGGTATGTTTTCCAGGCCAAACATGGTTACTTTGTTTGATCCAGAACTCATAGAACAGGTGTGAATCCATAATGGGAACTATTGCATTGAATTATTTCTTTACTATATTGGTGAAAGTTTGTGTATCAATATTTGTTAGGACTTGATCAGCTAATTCTCGCCTTCTCTTCTCGTGTAAGAAACTATTTTAAACCTTTTTGTGTTTGTTTACTCGTGGGTATTTGCAAATATATCGCAAAACGTCCCACGTGAAGTATTTAGGTGTACTATAACTGTTCTAGGTACGAACGTATTACCTAATCGTAGCAATAAATAAATATTGGCTAATGAGCATGATGACGTGATAATGAATTGTTTGTATTTAATGTGTAGTGATATCAAAGATAACATTTCGATTTATTTGACCATATTCGTGTTTTTAGGTAAAAACTTCATAATATAATTAACGTTCATTTATTTATAGTCATAAATTTCCTAAAGGTCTACAACGAACGCTTAAGGGTATCAAGGAATGGAAAATGGCCTTTATGACCTTGACCGAGCGAAGGCATGTGCAAAAACTATTGTTCTTCTTAAAAAGGACGACTTTCGCGCTTTGAATATAACCTGTGTCCGGGCTACTTTACAGACATTTATAAAATGGACACAAAGAACACCCAGACTCAGAACAACAGTTTATGGATCACATGGAAAATGTGATAGATGGGTATTATATTAAAAGAGTTTCTGTGCATTGACAAGGATATCAACTGCGACATGGGGTCTATCATTTAATACATTAAAGATCATATACGGAGCTACTTATTTAGGTTATATGGTGCACCTATATGGGCCGATAGGGCGACCGTAGGCGCTGTCCGTCGCAAACTGTTACAAGGCCAACGACTTGCACTGATATTCTTGTGCAAGGCATATAGGACGGTTAGCACTGAGGCTTTGCCGGTGTTGGCGGGTGTGCTTCCGGTCGATCTCGAGGTGCAGAGACGTGCAGCCATGTACTATTCAAGACAACAAAACATGGAATGCGATTTTTTTTGGGCGCGCGGAATCGCGGTAAAATTACAAGATTGCTTCAACAGCAGTCCGATGTCTATAATGACCTCATAGACGAATGGCAACAACGCTGGGATGAATCATCCAAGGGGCGCCATCTTTACCAATTCTTTCCATCTGTTCGCGAACGGTTGTCGAGGACATGGCTTGAGGTGGATCACTGTGTCGCTCAATTTCTTACGGGTCATGGTAACTTTAAGAGCAAGCTTTATTCATTTAAATTAGTCGAGTCACCATTGTGTCAATGCTCAACACCTAACTCTCACTATGAACAGTCTGCTCATCATATCCTCTGGGAATGTAGTCTTTGGTATAATGAACGTTATATAATGCTGAATACCTTGCAGGTGACATCTGGGGCGGTATACTATGGGGATCTTGTGTCAACTTGGGTGAATTTCCGTGCGTTTAGGCGATTCTGCCATATATATTATTATAGAAATCAAATATAGCTCACGTAGGACCCGTAATATTTCGTGGCCGTGGTGCTTCCCTGTTTAAAAGGGTGTATGCCCATTTTACTTCATTTTGTCTCCCGCTTTGCTAAGGAGGGAAGTGGATTTACTGTATTTCCAACTCCAATTTTCTTCTGATTAATTTCGTTGCGGGTTCCAAGACAGTTTAATTTCTTCCTGGGACTTCCCGAGTATCATAACTCGGTGTGTTCGTGGGTCACTGCTGTGGATCCTGGTGTACAGGAGTTACAGTGGTGGGCGTGTGGGTGGAATTAGTCCCAATAAAAAAAAAGATGGGTATAAAAATATTTAAGTTTGTTTGTATTTTACATGCTGTTCATCCCATCATCATGACATTTTGCATACAGATATACCTATAGATAGGGCATAATTTTTTAAGATAAAAAGTACTGTTTTCTGTCTCCGTGTTTTTTACAGAACTATCTGACTTCTTAACTGACTTCAAAAACTAAAAAGAGGAGGTTATCAATACGACTGCTTTTTTTTGTATGTTTGTTATGCGATATCTCCTTCAATTGTAGACCGATTTTCTAAATTATTTTTGAAAGCAATTATTTCATGGTCGTTACCTCGAAACTCTTATATTTGTAAACCGATTTGGAAAATTCTGTTTTATGTAGGTCACTATAGTCTGTCAAGAAAGTCATGAAATTAATGTTTGTGGAACTAAAAATTCGGCAACAATTGGCAACACTCATTGTCTGCCAAACTAAGTAGTTCAGCTGTCAGCTTCGTTGTTTTGTTGTACAAATTTGTTTTTTTTGGTTTTCATGGAGTTTATTTTTATCCAGTTACAGTTTGGAGATAAAAAATGAATCGAAATACTTATAAGAGTGGTGCGAGACAGGT